ATGAAGGGGAACAGCCTACCTGTAACGACGCGTGAAAGAGACCTGGGGGTGGACGTAACACCTAATCTATCTCCTGAGGCACATATTAATAGGATAACGACAGCAGCGTACTCTACACTGGCAAAAGTTAGAACATCATTCAGAAACCTAAGTAAGGAGGCATTTAGGGCGCTTTACACTGCCTACGTAAGGCCAGTCTTAGAGTATGCCGCCTCATCATGGAGTCCCCATCTGAAGAAGCATATAATGAAACTGGAAAAGGTTCAGAGGTTGCAACGAGACTCGTCCCAGAGCTACGAGGGATGGGGTATGAAGAGCGCCTGAGGGAACTGTGCCTTACGACACTAGAAAGAAGAAGGGAGAGGGGGGACATGATAGGAACGTATAAGATACTCAGAGGAATTGACAGAGTGGACATAGACGAAATGTTCACACGGAATAGTAACAGAACGAGAGGACATGGATGGAAGCTTGAAACTCAGATGAGTCACAGAGATGTTAGGAAGTTTTCTTTTAGCGTGAGAGTAGTGGGAAAATGGAATGCACTTCAGGAACAGGTTGTGGAAGCAAATACTATTCATAATTTTAAAAACCAGGTATGATAGGGAAATGGGACAGGAGTCATTGCTGTAAACAACCGATGCTCGAAAGGCGGGATCCAAGAGTCAATGCTCGATCCTGCAAGCACATATAGGTGAGTATATAGGTGAGTACACACACACACACACACACACACACACACACATGCATTAGGGAGTGATGTGGTGGAGGCTGACTCCATACACAGTTTTAAGTGTAGATATGATAGAGCCCAATAGGCTCAGGAACCTGTACACCTGTTGATTGACGGTTGAGAGGCGGGACCAAAGAGCCAGAGCTCAACCCCCGCAAGCACAACTAGGCGAGTACCCCCGCCCTGCCGGTGGAGGGTAGGGAGAGCCGGTCGGCCGAGCGGACAGCACGCTGGACTTGTGATCCTGTGGTCCTGGGTTCGATCCTAGGCGCCGGCGAGAAACAATGGGTAGAGTTTCTTTCACCCTATGCCCCTGTTACCTAGCAGTAAAATAGGTACCTGGGTGTTAGTCAGCTGTCACGGGCTGCTTCCTGGGGGTGGAGGCCTGGTCGAGGACCGGGCCGCGGGGACACTAAAGCCCCGAAATCATCTCAAGATATCCTCAAGATAACCCTCATGATAGCGCGGTAAACTGTTCATGTCCAAAGTAGTATACAGCCTAATTTATTGTTTACATTGTGGGCCCTGATTGTGGGGGGGGGGGGAGTTCACTGGGCAGCGTCACTCATCCTGTGAGTGAACACTCCGCCTGAGGGGTTCAACACCATAGCAAGAACACCTCACTATGTTCATCTTGTGAGAACATGAACAGTCTCACCCCCAGTGGCAAGAACACCCGCTAGCTTGTCCATGCTGTCACCCAGGGTACAGGGTACGGAACAACCACAGTATTGACTGGTTGTAGATGGTCCAAGTGTTGTACCGTTTGGTACAAGTTGGCCCCCCCGGGGTTGGCCCTAAAGTTGGCCCCCCGGGGTTGGCCCTAAAGTTGGCCCCCCCGGGGTTGGCCCTAAAGTTGGCCCCCCCGGGGTTGGCCCTAAAGTTGGCCCCCGGGGTTGGCCCTAAAGTTGGCCCCCTGGGGTTGGCCCTAAAGTTGGCCCCCCGGGGTTGGCCCTAAAGTTGGCCCCCCGGGGTTGGCCCTAAAGTTGGCCCCCCGGGGTTGGCCCTAAAGTTGGCCCCCCGGGATGGCCCTAAAGTTGGCCCCCCGGGGTTGGCCCTAAAGTTGGCCCCCCGGGGTTGGCCCTAAAGTTGGCCCCCCGGGGTTGGCCCTAAAGTTGGCCCCCCCGGGGTTGGCCCTAAAGTTGGCCCCCCCGGGGTTGGCCCTAAAGTTGGCCCCCCCGGGGTTGGCCCTAAAGTTGGCCCCCCCGGGGTTGGCCCTAAAGTTGGCCCCCCCGGGGTTGGCCCTAAAGTTGGCCCCCCGGGGTTGGCCCCCCGGGGTTGGCCCTAAAGTTGGCCCCCTGGGTTGCCCCCCCCCCTGGGTTGGCCCTAAAGATGGCCCCCTGGGGTTGGCCCTAAAGTTGGCCCCCTGGGGTTGACCCTAAAGTTGGCCCCCTGGGGTTGGCCCTAAAGTTGGCCCCCCGGGGTTGGCCCTAAAGTTGGCCCCCTGGGTTGCCCCCCCCCCCCTGGGGTTGGCCCCAAAGTTGGCCCCCAGGGCATACAAGCCCCGTACCCATAATACTGTAAGGTCATGGCCACTTAAGAATGGTCCAATAAGCTAGTCTGGCCTACACAGGCCGGGGGTTGACCACACCAAAGGCGGCACTGCAGAATGCCCCCCTGGGACTCGGGGTCGGGGCCAGCCAGAGCCGCCTTCACTACACACACAAACTTGTGTGCTGCTCTAAACAGTTTGGGCTCTGTCTCGTTATTCCCAATTGTGGGTGTGGGGATCCCTTAGGGACGTGAGGGTGGCAGGTCGTCTCTCCCCTGGCTGACCCCTGCTTCAGTGCTCTTGTGGGGTGTACTAGAAAGGCTGAGGGTGGGAGTGGGTGGGAGGAATTAGATGTGGGTGTGGGAAATGAGGAAGAGGGTGGGATTGGTTGCCTGCTAGCCTCTTGCTGGGAGGCTTTGTCTGCTAGCCTTATAATCAATTATAGTAATTATAAGCAATTATAAAAATAGTAACTATAATTCTAGTCTGCTAACTATAGCTGACATTATAGGCTGTGTAGGATAGATATATTTGTAAATGTAATCATTCCTGTAGAAGACTTTCTGTAAACCTTTTTGCGCTACGGCTCACAGGATGGTGTGTAGGCTGCACAATAAACTAGCCGCCTCAGACGGCAACACAATAAACTAGGAGCCTCAGACGGCAACACAATAAACTAGCCCCCTCAGACGGCAACACAATAAACTAGGAGCCTCAGACGGCAACACAATAAACTAGGAGCCTCAGACGGCAACACAATAAACTAGCCGCCTCAGACGGCAACATTTATCAACATTAAACAAAGGTGGATAGAAAATGGGATATTTTTCCCCCCTAGCTGTTGCTCACCAGGTAGCATGAGCCACTACAACGTAACAAATGCGACCTATTAGTTGAGAGAGATGGGGGGGGGGGTTGTGTTATTGTTGCCCCTGAAAAACGAGTCGGAGTTCTCTAGTTCTGGCGTCATAGAAAACGGAGCTTGGAATGTATTTTTTTAGCAGCAACTTGGACAAGTGTCTGAGTTTTGTTGAAACCCTGCCTCACTATGGCGACCCTGCCTCACTATGGCAATCCTGCCTCACTATGGCAACCCTGCCTCACTATGGCAACCCAGCCACCGACCCTGCCTCACTATGGCAACCCTGCCTCACTATGGCAACCCAGCCACCGACCCTGCCTCACTATGGCACCCCGGCCACCGACCCTGCCTCACTATGGCACCCCGGCCACCGACCCTGCCTCACTATGGCACCCCGGCCACCGACCCTGCCTCACTATGGCACCCCGGCCACCGACCCTGCCTCACTATGGCACCCCGGCCACCGACCCTGCCTCACTATGGCAACCCGGCCACCGACCCTGCCTCACTGGCACCCCCCCACCGACCCTGCCTCATTATGGCACCCCCTCCCACCGACCCTGCCTCATAATGGCAACCCCTTCCCACCGACCCTGCCTCATTATGGCAACCCCTTCCCACCGACCCTGCCTCACTATGGCAACTTCCCCGACCTGCCTCACTATGGCACCCCCTCCCACCGACCCTGCCTCACTATGGCACCCCCTCCCACCGACCCTGCCTCACTATGGCACCCCCCCTCCCACCGACCCTGCCTCACTATGGCACCCCCCTCCCACCGACCCTGCCTCACTATGGCACCCCCCTCGACCCTGCCTCACTATGGCACCCCCCCTCCCACCGACCCTGCCTCACTATGGCACCCCCTCTCCCACCGACCCTGCCTCACTATGGCACCCCCCTCGACCCTGCCTCACTATGGCACCCCCCTCCCACCGACCCTGCCTCACTATGGCACCCCCTCTCCCACCGACCCTGCCTCACTATGGCACCCCTCTCCCTCCCCCCCGACCCTGCCTCACTATGGCACCCCCCTCCCTCCCCCCCCGACCCTGCCTCACTATGGCACCCCCCCGACCCTGCCTCACTATGGCACCCCCCTCCCATCGACCCTGCCTCACTATGGCACCCCCCTCCCACCGACCCTGCCTCACTATGGCACCCCCCTCCCACCGACCCTGCCTCACTATGGCACCCCCCCGACCCTGCCTCACTATGGCACCCCCCTCCCACCGACCCTGCCTCACTATGGCACCCCCTCCCACCGACCCTGCCTCACTATGGCACCCCCCCGACCCTGCCTCACTATGGCACCCCCCTCCAACCGACCCTGCCTCACTATGGCACCCCCTCTCCCACCGACCCTGCCTCACTATGGCACCCCCCTCCCTCCCCCCCGACCCTGCCTCACTATGGCCACCCCCCCTCCCTCCCCCCCCGACCCTGCCTCACTATGGCACCCCCCCCGACCCTGCCTCACTATGGCACCCCCCCTCCCACCGACCCTGCCTCACTATGACACCCCCCCTCCCACCGACCCTGCCTCACTATGGCACCCCCCCTCCCACCGACCCTGCCTCACTATGGCACCCCCCCCGACCCTGCCTCACTATGGCACCCCCCCGACCCTGCCTCACTATGGCACCCCCCTCCCACCGACCCTGCCTCACTATGGCACCCCCCCCCCCGACCCTGCCTCACTATGGCACCCCCTCCCACCGACCCTGCCTCACTATGGCACCCCCCTCCCACCGACCTTGCCTTACTATGGCACCCCCCTCCCTCCCCCCTGACCCTGCCTCACTATGGCACCCCCCCTCCCTCCCCCCCCCCGACCCTGCCTCACTATGGCACCCCCCCTCCCTCCCCCCCCTCGACCCTGCCTCATCAGTCTCCTGAGTCTCTTAATAGTTTCAATTACTGCGGCTTGTCCGTGACATTATCAGGGGTAACAAGGCGGCCTGTTGTGGGCGTGAGGGGCGGGGCTGGTGGGCGTGAGGGGCGGCGCTAGTGTGGGCGTGAGAGGGCGGGGATGGTGTGGGCGTGAGCGGCGGGGATGGTGTGGGCGTGAGAGGGCGGCGCTGGTGTGGGCGTGAGAGGGCGGGGATGGTGTGGGCGTGAGAGGGCGGGGATGGTGTGGGCGTGAGCGGCGGGGCTGGTGTGGGCGTGGAGCGGTAATGAAGTGAGAGAGTAGCGCCTATTGTGGGCGTTATATTAGAGGTATTTGGCAGCGCCCTCAACCCCTCTAGAGTAGCAAATCCTCCGTGATCAAGTGTGGGACGCCTTTTATTGGTCGTAAAGTCCGGTAGTGAAAGAGCGGAGAAGGGGGGGGGGGCATCGATGCCGGCACGCACACGCGCACTTACGCATACACATTCGAATACCCTTTATACGCGCACATACTGACATGCGCCTGATACCTGTAGTCGACATGCGCGCTCTAGTACAGTGCTAAGCAGGTGAGGTAGGTTATGGAGGGGGGGGGAGGGGGTGGCACTGGCACAGGGCCACAATGGAGCCAATGTGGAGGTGATAGAAGAGAACCGGGCCGCCCTGGCTCCTGCCGGCACAGGCAGCTCTTAACCTAATTACACACCCGGGAGGTTCCTCTTGCCCTCTATGATACCAATTTGAGCCCTATTAAACTATATCAATTCAAGTAACGCTGGGAATGCTCTTAAATGCTTAAGATTCAAGTTATTGCATCGTGGAGTCGTGAGATTGGGATGGATCTGTGAGCACATCGCAGGAGCCGGTCGGCCGAGTGGACAGCACGCTGGACTTGTGATCCTGTGGTCCTGGGTTCGATCCCAGGCGCCGGCTAGAAACAATGGGCAGAGTTTTTTTCATCCTATGCCCCTGTTACCTAGCAGTAAAATAGGTACCTGGGTGTTAGTCAGCTGTCACGGGCTGCTTCCTGGGGGTGGAGGCCTGGTCGAGGACCGGGCCGCGGGGACACTAAAAAGCCCCGAAATCATCTCAAGATAACCTCAAGATAACATCGTGGTTTAGTCGGTACTGCGTGTGTCTGGGAGTCGAGGAGTGAGGTTTCGATCCTATAATTAGGTCACGATAGTTTCTTATTTAATTGGTGGGTGGTGGGTATGTAGTTGATCGAGGAGGCCTAGTCCGGGACCGGGCCGCGGGAACGCTAAGCTCCGGAATCATCGCAAGGTAGGTGCGGAAACTATCTAGTTTCCTCTTGAAGATGTCCACGGTTGTTCCGGCAATATTTCTTATGCTCGCTGGGAGGACGTTGAACAACCGCGGACCTCTGATGTTTATACAGTGTTCTCTGATTGTGCCTATGGCACCTCTGCTCTTCACTGGACCTCTGATGTTTATACAGTGTTCTCTGATTGTGCCTATGGCACCTCTGCTCTTCACTGGACCTCTGATGTTTATACAGTGTTCTCTGATTGTGCCTATGGCACCTCTGCTCTTCACTGGACCTCTGATGTTTATACAGTGTTCTCTGATTGTGCCTATGGCACCTCTGCTCTTCACTGGACCTCTGATGTTTATACAGTGTTCTCTGATTGTGCCTATGGCACCTCTGCTCTTCACTGGACCTCTGATGTTTATACAGTGTTCTCTGATTGTGCCTATGGCACCTCTGCTCTTCACTGGACCTCTGATGTTTATACAGTGTTCTCTGATTGTGCCTATTGCACCTCTGCTCTTCACTGGACCTCTGATGTTTATACAGTGTTCTCTGATTGTGCCTATGGCACCTCTGCTCTTCACTGCACCTCTGATGTTTATACAGTGTTCTCTGATTGTGCCTATGGCACCTCTGCTCTTCACTGGACCTCTGATGTTTATACAGTGTTCTCTGATTGTGCCTATGGCACCTCTGCTCTTCACTGGTTCTATTCTACATTTTCTTCCATATCGTTCACTCCAGTATGTTGTTATTTTACTGTGTAGATTTGGGACCTGGCCCTCCAGTATTTCCATGTGTATATTATTTGGTATCTCTCTCGTCTCCTTTCTTGTGAGTACATTTGGAGAGCTTTGAGACGATCCCAATAATTTAGGTGTTTTATCTCGTCTATGCGTGCCGTATATGTTCTCTGTATTCCCTCTATTTCAGCAATCTCTCCTGCTCTGAAGGGGGAAGTGAGTACTGAGCAGTACTCAAGACGGGACAACACAAGTGACTTGAAGAGTACAACCATTGTGATGGGATCCCTGGATTTGAAAGTTCTCGTAATCCATCCGATCATTTTTCTGGCTGACGCAATATTTGCTTGGTTATGCTCCCTAAACGTTAGGTCGTCAGACATCATTATTCCCAAATCCTTGACATGCTATTTTCCTACTATGGGCAGATTTCATTGTGTTTTGTACCCTGTATTATGTTTAAGGTCCTCATTTTTACTGTACCTGAGTACCTGGAATTTATCACTGTTAAACTAAAGGCTTCTCTCGCTATCACATCAGACCTGGCCTATTGCCAGCTCTGATGTGATAATTTGATCCAACGGGCTGTTGCTTGAAGCGTCCCGCAGGGGCCCTACACACACACCCACCACTACTCAATTGATCCGGCACTTCCTGCCTGATTGAGTGACCTTACGGCTGTAGTTCCGTGACCTATTGTATCAACGCTACACTATTGTATATCTGGCTGTAGTGTCAGTAACCAGCCAGCAACCCTGGCATTTGATCCCTAGAGTCATCTCACGCTCGGGAGCCGGTCGGCCGAGCGGACAGCACGCTGGACTTGTGATCCTGTGGTCCTGGGTTCGATTCCAGGCGCCGGCGAGAAACAATGGGCAGAGTTTCTTTCACCCTATGCCCCTGTTACCTAGCAGTAAATAGGTACCTGGGTGTTAGTCAGCTGTCACGGGCTGCTTCCTGGGGGTGGAGGCCTGGTCGAGGACCGGGCCGCGGGGACACTAAAGCCCCGAAATCATCTCAAGATAACCTCAAGATAACCTCAAGATGCTTTAGACAGCTTAAGCTTGTAATATATATTGTAAGATTCGAATAGAATTAAAGTTAATGATGGCGAGAGAGTAAGACAGGCGAGCAGGTGCTGCTGGAGGCGGACACTTAACTACTGGTCTTATCTGAGATTGCTGGCGTCTTGGCTTTACTGCTTGTTAGGGTAAGTTGTTGGTGGGAGGGACAAGTCTTGGACGCTCTTCCTGTGGGGCCAGCTGCCCCAGGGGTCCACTGTGGCCCCAGGGGATGGCCAGACCCCCAGGGGTCCACTGTGGCCATGGTGATGATCAGACCCCCAGGGGTCCACTGTGGCCACGGTGATGACCAGACCCCCAGGGGTCCACTGTGGCCCCGGGGATGACCAGACCCCCAGGGGTCCACTGTGGCCACGGGGATGGCCAGACCCCCAGGGGTCCACTGTGGCCCCGGGGATGACCAGACCCTCAGGGGTCCACTGTGGCCCCGGGGATGACCAGACCCCCAGGGGTCCACTGTGGCCCCTGGGATGGCCAGACCCCCAGGGGTCCACTGTGGCCCCTGGGATGACCAGACCCCCCAGGGGTCCACTGTGGCCCCAGGGATGACCAGACCTCCAGGGGTCCACTGTGGCCCCAGGGATGACTAGACCCCCAGGGGTCCACTGTGGCCCCAGGGATGACCAGACCCCCAGGGGTCCACTGTGGCCCCAGGGATGACCAGACCCCCAGGGGTCCACTGTGGCCCCAGGGATGGCCAGACCCCCAGGGGTCCACTGTGGCCCCTGGGATGACCAGACCCCCCCAGGGGTCCACTGTGGCCCCAGGGATGACCAGACCCCCAGGGTCCACTGTGGCCCCAGGGATGACCAGACCCCCAGGGGTCCACTGTGGCCCCAGGGATGACCAGACCCCCAGGGGTCCACTGTGGCCCCAGGGATGACCAGACCCCCAGGGGTCCACTGTGGCCCCAGGGATGACCAGACCCCCAGGGGTCCACTGTGGCCCCTGGTGATGATCAGACCCCCAGGGGTCCACTGTGGCCCCTGGTGATGACCAGACCCCCAGGGGTCCACTGTGGCCCCTGGTGATGATCAGACCCCCAGGGGTCCACTGTGGCCCCTGGGATGACCAGACCCCAGGGGTCCACTGTGGCCCCTGGGATGACCAGACCCCCAGGGGTCCACTGTGGCCCCTGGGATGACCAGACCCCCAGGGGTCCACTGCACTGTTCCTCATCTTTTCTCAATACTCAGGATTTAGTCAGCCATTAGCTATTAGAACTTATCTAGATTATTAGATATTATAGATAGATAGATATTATAGATAGATAGAACTATTAGATTATCTCCAGGTATGGTTCAGGTAATCAGTGAGTGGGGGGAGGGGGGGTTCCAGTGTTCCTTCGGTGATGGCAGCAGTGAAAGTGAGGGGAGGGGGGGGGGGTGCCCGAACTGTAAATCAGAGTGACCCCTGTAAACAGCGACCGCTGCTCGCGTATTTCTACACGGCTAATTTACAGCTATGACCAAAACATTATTTATTGCTAGCATGATGGACACGAGCCCATTCCGTTCACAATGTTTCGGGGGTCAGCCTCTCGTTGTCGGCAGCTATCGAGCGAACATTTGCGGCAGCGAGCGTTAGTTTTGGGGCCGCGGCTCAAGGGGAGCTGTTTTATAGACCATAAGCGGCCAGCTATCACACTGTTGTTACTTCACACATAATGTAACCGCTGATTGACTCGGCTTTTATAGACCGGCCATACTCCAGTATTACGATGTCACCCGGTCCTTGGGGCTGGCACCCTGTGGCACCCCTGGGGCTGGCACCCTGTGGCACCCCCTGGCCCTGGGGCTGGCACCCTGTGGCACCCCTGGGGCTGGCACCCTGTGGCACCCCCTGGCCCTGGGGCTGGCACCCTGTGGCAACCCCTGGGGCTGGCACCCTGTGGCACCCCCTGGCCCTGGGGCTGGCACCCTGTGGCACCCCCTGGGGCTGGCACCCTGTGGCACCCCTGGGGCTGGCACCCTGTGGCACCCCCTGGCCCTGGGGCTGGCACCCTGTGGCAACCCCTGGCCCTGGGGCTGGCACCCTGTGGCACCCCTGGCCCTGGGGCTGGCACCCTGTGGCACCCCCTGGCCCTGGGGCTGGCACCCTGTGGCACCCCTGGGGCTGGCACCCTGTGGCACCCCCTGGCCCTGGGGCTGGCACCCTGTGGCAACCCCTGGCCCTGGGGCTGGCACCCTGTGGCACCCCTGGCCCTGGG